TTATTAATAATATAATCCTAAATGCTGCATATGTTGAAAAAAAATCAATGATGGCACTGTAGAATACTCCTTTTTTACTCTTTTGATCATCACTGAAAACATTTACTAAAAAATTCTCAAAATTTAAGAATTTAGGGCCGGCCAAATAGCTCAGTGGATTAAAGTGCCTGCTTCAGATGACAAAGTGGCTGGGGCTTGATCCCTGGTGTGCCTTGCAGGGGCATGCTAAAATGGCGATTGAGACTGGGCGTGGTGGAGCATGCCTATAATCCCAGCTCTTTGGGAGGCTGAGCACAGGCGGATCACTACAAGAGTCTGATCTATGTAGGGAGACCCTGTAGACCCTTATCAAATAAATAAAATAAATTTAAGAATTTAATTCATGCCTATCAAATTTCTTAGTACTTAAAAATATTAAATTACAATGGTTAGAAATAGCTGCCAATGATGTTGATTATACAAACATGAATTATCAAATGATTTAGGTATTTTTCCTAAGATTAGTGTCATTTTGTACCTAAAATATATATAGTTGATTACAACATGTTAGTACTGAAAATTCCCAAGTTGAAAAGACACTAAATAACCAGGGAAAACAGATTAGTTCCATAAAAATATAAAAACAGATCTGGGGAGATCTATGTCAGTAGGAGAGTACTTGCCCGGCATATGTCACGCCCTGCACTCAATATTCAGCATAGAGGAAAAATGTAACTATATAAAATAATACTGAGGTATAAAATAAAGTAGTGCACAAAGAAAAATTTCAACTAACTATCATGAGTATTTCAGGAAACTGATACTTAGAATTTAGTTTTACCAGCTCACACTACTTAAACAGTAAAGCAGTATGTATCGTTTTCACAAATGAACCAAAATGAATAGCTGTGTTCTATGAGAAAATGGAAATATATGACAAATGTATAATAAAAATCAGTAAGAAAAGGTAAGTTGAAAAGCCCCCAAATATCTGGAAATTATATAATATAGTATACAATTTAAAAAAACCCATCAAAGAAATCAAAATTAATAATAGGGAATATATGGCATTTCAAAATTATGAATAAAGGCAAATTTTAAAATGACTATATTAAAGCAAAAACTTTAAAAATACATAAAACAGCAATTTAAGCTTCTACTTGAAGGTGGTATGTCTGCAATCTCAGCCTGAGACAGGAGAGTTGCAAGTTTGAGGCTAGCCTGGATAATTTACCAAGTCCTTATTTCAAAAACATATACAAGCTAGACACTCCAGAGAAAATATTTCTCTAAAGCAATAATAAAGGTAGTACAATTACTGGCAAGGACTTCACAAAGTCTGGCCAGAAAAGAGAATGCAAATTCAAACCACAAGAAACTGGCAGACACTCTTAGAATGTCTACACTTAAAAAGAGAAAATCAAATGTTGTTAAGAATATGGAAACAGAATTCTGGAGGGAATTTAAGTTCTTGGAAAAAGTTTTACAAATCTCTTGTAAAGTTAAATGTATATTTATTCTCCGACTCAGCAACTCTCCTTTTCAGATATTCGCCCAGGAAAATAAAAACACATGTCCACAAAGTTATATAAGAAAATAAAAATAATTAAAGAGTTATGTAAGAGTGTGCACGGTAGTGAGGGCGGGAGGAGGGGCAGCTCAACAGTAGAGCACTTGCCTAGGACATGCAGGGCTCTGGGTTAAATCCCAAGCACCGTAAGAACAAAACAGAGTATGTAAAGTAGCTTTAGTCATAATGGCTAACTGTGGAAACATAAGGTGTCCGTCAGTAGGAGAATGGATAAAGAAACTGGTATGTTCACACAATGAAACAGTGCTCATCCATAAAAAGCAAGCTATGATATACCCTATAACATAGAGAGATCTCAGATATGTGCTGAAGTAGAAATAAAAAGTGTATGCTGATTTAATTTATACAAAATTTTTGTACTAATAATGAGGATAATCAGTAAAACAGTTGAGAAGAGAGAAATAGAAAAACTGAGATATTAATGTTCTATAACATAGAACATTATGTATATTTTGTACATAAGACATGTAAATATAGTTGATAACATGTTGGTATTGAAAATTGCCAAATCAAAAAGATGCTAAGTAATATTTACACTACTTATGAAACTCAATAGCAGTGTGAACTACATGAATATACTCATTTATCAATGCTGTATAGTTAAAGTTGGTTCATTTCAATGTATGCAAATTTTACATTAAGAAACACCTACAAAGCCAGGCATGGCACACACTTACAATCCCAGCACTGGGGAGACTGAGGCAGAAAGATTGCCATGAGTTCTATCCCAGCCTGGGCTACATTAGTGAGTTTAAGGTCATCCTGCATCACATAGTGAGAACCTGTCTCAACAATAACAAAAACCAAACAAACAAGAAATGCAATAAAAATAACTGAAAACAACGGACAGAGGTACAGATAAAGCAAGAATGGCTATACATTACAAATAATTGAAGCTAGGTGATAGGTATATGGGAGTTTAGTATACTATCCTGTTTACCCTGTGTGCACTTAAAATTTCACATGATACAACATTTTTTGAAAGGAGACAGAATTTCAGTTTTACTTAATCAAAATAGGGTAGGGCTGGCCTGATAGCTCAGTGGACTAAAGCGCCTGCTTAGGCAGAGTACAGTAGCTAGAGTTTGATTCCCAGCTTGCTGTGCTGGCCCTGCCCCCTGGGTGTGCTGAGATAGCAATTGAGACTGGGGCATGCAGCTATAATCCCAGTGCTTCGGAGGCTGAAAACAGGAGAATCACTAAGAGTCTGATCTACATAGTAAGACCCTGTAGGCCCTGTAGACCCTGTCCTAACTAGAGAAAAACCAAAACAAAAAACAGGCTAATCTCACTGTCCTAATTAAAATAGGCAATCATGTAAATATGGCTAGCTTAGATTAGCAAAATTCTAATAAATCAGATTAGATTTAAATAGGACAATCTGTGATATCCAATGCTGTTTTTCAGTCTTTAATTATTTTTCACATACAAACTTATGAAAATTACAGCTTTTTTTAAGCATACAAATGTTGAAAACTCTTTAATTTCCTAGTGACCTAAAAGAACGTTATTAAAATTAATGTTAAGTTTATTAACTGCTATAAATATGTCCGCTTGTAACCAAAATAATTACTGCAAGTTGGACTTGTTTCTTTTGAATCAATTTGTAAGACATAATAAAAATATTCTAATGTTTTTAGATGCAGTACACAATAGAATTATTATAGTTCCTAATTCTACTTCACTATTTTTGCTGGAATGTTAAATTCAAAGAAATCCAACTTTTTATTACTGTACAGTATATTTGAATAAGGAGTTTAAAAAAAAAATCACCCATGAAACTTTTCTGCTGTCAAATGCAGATTCATCTTAACATTTTCAAAATCCTGACCTGAACATGTTACGATACGAAACATTTCCCTTTCTTACAAACAATAACTAGCTAATTTTTATATTCCTCAACACACTGTTGTTCCGAGTGTTGAATTTTATTGTTTAACAAAGGTATTATGCAAATTTCACATTATTTCTACTAATAGAGGATAGTAAAGTATTTTAAGCCTTGCAGCAATATGAAATTTTTTATATGTACAAATGTGTACCACTATTAATATAACACATGCTTAGGCAAGAAGTGAAGCAAATGAAAAGTACCCAGTACTTGCGATTGACTTCCTAAGGGTACATTAACTAGGTGAGGTAAGAGGAATTAGCCTTGTATCACACACTGGCTTTAAAAACTGAGACAAAGTTCATGTATTTTACCAAGAAAGTTGGAAAATTTACAGGTCTGGAGCTAAGAGGAATTCCAGAAATCAAAGCCTAAGCCATCCTCCATCCCTCCCTCCTTCCATCCATCTATCCTACATCCCTCCCTCCGTTCCTCTCTCCTCCCTCCCTCTCTCCTCCCTCCCTCTCTCCCTCCCCCCTCCATCCATCCTTCCTCCCTACCTCCCTTCCATTTACTTATTCACAGCCTAATCCTTTTAAAGCAACGAAATCTCAGAAAAGCTAAAGTTGAAGAAGTGCACTGAAGAATTAAAATGTAAAAACTGATCTCCTGACTCTTGTTTTGTATCCTGTGGTGAAGGGTGCACAGGGTGTCAAGGCTCTCGCTACTGGCTCGGACTCCAGGGACCCGCCTGTGTACAGCCTGCCATGTGTTGGGCTCACAGGCGCACCACCAGCCCCGTCTCCGTCAAGTCTCAGCACGCCCGGGGGGTGGGGCCAGCACGGCATACCTCCTGATTCCTAATCTATAATTCAAACTTTCAAACATACTTCTTAGTACCTGCAGAATAGGCCAATATTTCCTTTTGTTTACCATGTGTGATGTTTGCTAACTTGTGTATTATTTCAGGATTCTTTTTATTCTGTCTCAAAACAGTACTGCCTTCCGATTACACCATTCTGCTGTAATGCTCTCACCTGCCACCAGGTGGAGAGTTGGTCTAAGATACAGCCAAACCAGGAGAAAACTACAACTTTACTCCCAATGTGTCTATTCATTTTTCAGTACTTTTAAAGTACAGTACAGTACTTTATAAACTAGTCAGTTCATTAGCACTTTTAAAATTTACTCTGAACTGATCACTACACTAAGGGAAACTGTTTTTCTTAACTTTCTGGCTTCTGTATCGTGTAATGCAATCGGCAATTTTTATGAAATATGATCTAAATTGTGCATGTGAAACAGAGTTTAAAGGAAAAAACCAGGCGCCAAGGGTTCGAGCTCGGCCTACCGGGCCAGCCCGCCCTCCTGTCCTCAGTCTCCCTGAGACGGCAATGGAGACTGGGCGTGATGGCGCATTACTTGCAATCCCAGCTCTTGGGAGGCTGTAAACAGGCGGATCACTACCGATCTAGTAGTGAGACCCTGAGCACCCTGGAGACCCTTCCCTAAAATACAAAAAAAAACCCAAAAAAAAACCAAAAAAACTAATTCAAAACAAGCTCAAGACACATACAGAACAAATAAATTCTTGCTTACCATTTTTGCTTCCGACTGTACTGGCTGAGGAGAAGAAGGACCTGGGATTCCTGGAACACTAGGCACCATGGTGACTGGTCGAACAAGCTATGCAAAAGATATTGAAAAACACTGTTCAGGAAATACTTTCAAAATTATATTTATACTTTCATGCATACAATAGCAATTATAATAATCTGAAATTCTAGAATGACAAAATTATAAGTTTATCCTGAGCTGTGTTACTATAACCCAATTTACTCTTCAAAAGTTGTCAATGTTTCTGAGACACTTGTTTCCTGAATCTTCACTTTTCACAATTTATTAACGGCTCCTTCTTGCACTCATAGTACTCAAATTGATTGATATAAACTTTCTCACAGAGCTATCACACTTTCATTTTGTATTTGAAAGGAAAGAATGCTAAAATTTGTGACAAAGTATATAAAATATTAAAAATTTGACTTTTCTTAAATACATTATTTCTCTAAAATGAGTTCTTTGCTATATTAATATGCTACATAATGTTGAAGCTACTGACCTCTAACAATTTCTCAATAATCTTAAAAATTATTTTGGTTTTTACTTTTAACTATTACTGCGTATAGTTTTCTTTCATTTCAAGTTGCTTTCATCACAAATTCATTTCATAATAAATATAATCTCAAACACAAGGTAAAAGTATTTCCTCTCTGGAGCTAAGAGGAAATATCCTTAGGGGAAAAAAAACCAGATCTGGCTTGAGTCTACATTTTCCAAATAACGTATTTTGGACAACAGAGTTGTATCTGAAGAAGATAATTTTAAAATTATCAATCAGTGCTAACTTTCAACCCTTGGAAGAATTAAAACATTAAGCATTTTTTTTAAAGTTCTTAATCTTAGTAATATTCCCTGGGTCATAACTCCATCAAATTTTAGAATGCTACTATAAGTAAGCTTGTAAAATTGGTTAAAAAGCTAGCTATATAGTAAATGATTACACTGCACAGAAATACATACCTATAAGGTAAAAGAAATACTTTGTTATGTAAGTCAATATCTGAGGCTTAAGTTAAAATATCCCAGAAAATAATGAGATTCAAAAGGTACATAATAAAAATTTTGGTAAGAGTTAAACTCCCATTATTTCTAACAAGTCATTTTAAATGATGGTTTTTAGATGTTCAGTAATTATTAAATATCACAAGTAGTTATCTATTATAATCTATTTGTTCCAAAATTCATATACTTAAATAAGGGCCTTAAACAAATAAACAAATAAACAAAAACTCTTCGATTTTCTTGCTAGACAGTGGGAAACTACTGCTTTGGAATACTTACATTTTTTTACTACACTCCGGCCATCAACGTAATTCCATAAACTTAATTTAACTGCAAAGTTTCATAGAATGTATCCTTAGAACAAAATCAGAAATATACATACTACCAAATGACTTGACAGCATTTATCTAATATATGAATAAACATTACCAGTCACTATTAAGGATTGTGTAAGTTCACTTTCTTATGCCAATCAAGCAACTTCAACTATATTTTTGTATTACTTTACCAAGGTCACTTTTGCTACAAAGATGTTAACAGACTAAATTTCTCACTCACTGGGACCGCAGCTGGGACATGCACATTGGAACTTGTAATGGATGCAGGGATTGCAACAGGCATGGTCTGTCCATTAGGAAGATGTAGCAGAAGAGGAAATGGACCTGGGACAGGGCTGGGGGAAAAAAGGGAAATCCGAAAAGATTCATACATATTGTTGCTTAAAAAACTACTATTACTCCATCATATCACTTAAAAACCAATTTTCTAAAATGCAAAGCAAATCTTATTATAAACTGAAAATTTTAATTTTTAAGTACATCTTAAATGCATAATCTATGTAGCAGTAATAAATGAAAGAAATCATGTATTTACTTGGGACAATCTCCAACTTATAAATTTTAAGAATTATAAGAAATGTCACTATGATGAATTCTATTTGTTTTGTGTGAAATACCACGAAAATAAGAAATCAATAAATTTATATTGTATGTTGGTTTGTTTTTAAGTTTTAAATATTTCTTAATCTACTAAATATTTGTATATTTAAAAGGCCACTGAAGTTTTCAAAAAAGTATGTAGATGACACAGATACACACGACTAAGGTCACAATATAAATAATTCAATGTTTTAGGAAAAAATCCTAACAAGAGATCTAACATTATTCATACAGTCTACGATTGGTGTGAATCACTTACACAATTGGCCTATTGGAGGATGGAGCCTGGGTGATTACAGTACTTGAGGTTGGCGAAGGTACAGCCTGTTGAATAATTACACTTGAGTCAGAACTTGTAAGCAGCACATTGGGAACCTGTAAGGATGCTGGACGAACAATAGCTGATGTGGGCTGTGCGGTTTGTGCCAATGGTACCTCCTATTTGATAATGAGATAAAAAAAGAGTAGTATTTAAAAATGCAAATCAATTCACATGAGATGTAACACATCTCTAAAAGTACCATAGGATAATACTTAACTCACTAAAATAAGTATCTAATTTAAAACAATGTTTTAGATGCCATTATGAAGGTTCAGATGCAATGTTCAATATTTAAATTTTTTGAAGTCTGGTTTTTAAAAATGTAAACTGCATTCCTATCAATTTATTTGCACAATGTCCTTAGTAACTGAGTTATGTTTTCCTATCAATTCCCAAGGAAACTGCTTCATCCTATTCCTTGTATAGGAAACTACTCAGAAAGACAATGTCATAGTTACTACAAATTCAATTAATAGACTTGCAGTATCAGAGACTGAATCCAGGGTCTTCCCACTGAACTATCTCCCCAGCCTTTTTGACTTTCAGATAGTTTTTGCTAAATTTTCCAGGCTAGGCTCAAACTTTGAATGCTTCTGGCATTGAAGTACTGGAATTACTGGCTTCAGTGTAATGTGTTCTTTGAAACGGCCTTTATACTGTCCCTTAAACATTGGAAGTCTTATTATGCCCTATTGAAAGAAGGAAAACTAGTAGTACCACGGTTAACTTTATTTACCAAGTTTGAGAACACGGCTCTCAAAGATTGATAAGGATACAATATACAAGTAAAAAGTCAAAAATTTCAGATTGTAGTAACTGTTAAATGTAAAGAACAATAAATGCAAAGTAATAAACAGTGGAAGATTTAATTAAGGGTAATGTAGAGTTGGATGCTTTAGACAGAACAGCAGGGAAAGAGAAGCTGCTTTACAAAAAAAAGGGGGGTGGGAGTCTGGGGCCCGGGAGATGGCTCAGTGGCACAGAGCCTGCCTGGCAATGAGTCGACTTCCAAAATATATATGGCGTCTGAACTGACAATGAAAGGATAAGGAGGAGAGTACACTATGAAGAAGGAAGTAACATATTTAATGTCTTGAGGCAGGAAAAAAGCCTGGACTATTTGATGAACACAACAGAGTGGCCTGAGATACAGAGGGATGAGCAGACAAGTCTAGAACAAATAAGGCTTTATGCTAAAGATTGTGAATTATTGTAAACAGAACAGTATTCACTGACTAATTTTTCCCCCCTTTGGTACTAGGGATCAAACTGAGGACCTTGTGCTTACCAGGCAGGCGCTTATTTCACTGAGCTATCTCCCCAGACTCACACTGATTAATTTTAAGCAGGAAACATGACTTGATGTATTTTTTAAAAGCCTCTCAATGAGGTAACTCGGCAGGTTAAGAACCTGCCTCCCTTCCCAGACCCAGGCAAGCTGTGTGGGCCACTGAAATCCAGTGTGGTGGTAGGTGGTGCATGCCTGTAATCCCAGCGTTGGGGAGGCTAAGACAGGAGGATCACTGAGTCTGAGCTTAGTAGTGAGACCCTGGACCAAATACATACATAAAAGATTAAAAAATAAATAAAATAAAAGCCTCACAAAACTACAGAAAGTAGATTTGGGATGGAACCAAACAGTCCAGTAAGAAAGGAATGTTAGCTAACTATGATGGCATATATCTGCAGTCCCTAAGTTAGAAGGAAGTGTGCCTTTCAGAAGTTACATAGAAGACCAAACTGGGAAAACAGTGAGATCCTCTTTCAAGAAAAATAAGAGGGCTAGGTATGTAGCTCACCGACAGAATGTGTGCTTTTCGCCCTGGGTTTGATTCCCTGGCAATGCAAATAAGGGGAGAACAAAGTGGGGTTGGGAGAAAAAGTGAAAGACTATGATGGCTTGGCCTAAAGGATAAAACTGAACAAAAAAAGGGGTAAGATTTGAGGAGAGACTCTGGAAACAGTTCTGGTAAGATCTGCTGTTGGTTTTAGTGTGAAGGAAAAGGAATTAAAAAAGGGAAAAGAAAAAAATGTAAACAAAGCTGTTGTAAATAAGGAGATGAAGTAAGGTTAAAGGGAAGGTAGGGAAAAGTCAAGATATCTCATGTAGGGGTAGAAATTCTCTATGACACATGTGATCATAATCTAAAAAACATCAATAAACTTAATTAAAAAATGATCCCTAAATTCTTAGCTTGTGCACCTAGATAGAGGAAATTAGTACTGAGATAGGAAAAAAAAAATTAAGACTCTCATTTAGACAAATTGTTTAAAAATATCTATTATAAATAGAAAAGCAACTGTCAAGATTGAATTAGGAATATGGCAATCTGGAGGAACACCTATGTTAATATAAATTTGGGAATTACTAATATGTAAATAGTTTTTACAAGTTATGGGTCTGGTTGGAATAACATAAAAAGAAAATCACCTGAGAGGAGAGCCAGGACAGATTGTTTTACAACTTGGTATCTCTATGTCCTAATGTAAGAGGAGCTAACTACTGAGGAATACAAAAGTGATATCCTTAAAAGATGATAAAGCAGACCAAAACAGTGAAAATTGGCCAGTGTGAAGAAAAATAGGAATGTTTACTTTCTGCCCACTGTTTATAGGAAATATTTAACTTTCTTTTTTATTTGATTTTAGGAATTCATAGCTAAGAATTAGCCTTGAATCTCAGAGGAAACTTAAGACTTTTTAAAGATTTTAGCTATTTTCAGAGATGGTTTAAGTGCATTTTGGATAATGAGACTTTTGGAGGCTAGGAACAGAACGCTACAGCTTGGATCTAAAATGTTCCAAGGCTAGTGTTCACAGGCTGGGGGAGGCAGGCGCTGGGGGCATATCTTTGGAAGGTGTAGCTCCCTCTCAGCTCCTTCCCCACTCTTGGCTTCCTGGGCCCCCTGATGTGAACAGTTTTCCCTCTATACTCTTCCACCACATTGTTTCTGTGCTGGTGCCTGACCATGTTCTAAATCCACTGAAATTGAGCTAAAATAAACTCCTTCAAGTTTCAGATGTTAGGTACAGTATTTTGTCCCAGTGACAGGAAAACTGACTAATACAGATGATAAAGAAGCCGTGGGGGCTGGCAAGGTAGCTCAGTGGACTAAGCTCCCGCTTAGGCGAGTGCAGGGACCAGGGTTCAATTCCTGACACCACGTTACACTGGCTCCGCCTCCAGGCACACTGAGCTGGCCACCAAGACCAGATGTGGTGGTGCAAAGCTGCAATCCCAGCGCTGGGGAGGCTGAAAACAGGAGGATGACTTTCAGTTTGAGTTGCGTAGTGAGACCCTGTACCAAATACATAAAAAAAAAAAAAAAAGACAAAGCCATGAAGAGTGAGAACTGTTAAGTGTGAAGAGACTGGAATGCTCTGTAGAAAAAATTCTCAAAAGAATTTAACAGTACTTTTAGTCTATGTAATACTGTGAAAAGCTACATATGTCCAAATATATACACAAACCACAGGATAATTCATTATGTAAGGCTAATGATAAAATTTAGCAAAACCATTAAGAATTATGATTTGGGAAGTTTATAATGATAAGGAAATCACTAATGTTTTTTAATGATGAGTGTTTCAAGCACAATGTAAAAGTAAGCTAGAATCTTTATATCTATCCTTTTACATAACTATGCACTTACATATTTATACGTACAAGTATGTGTATATATATACACCGAGAAAGATGTTTCAAAATATTAGTAATTCTTATTCAATGGTGGGTGATATTTGTATTCTTCTTTGCATTTCTCTGTATTCTTAAATTTTTCATAATGAGAATATACTTTTATAATCTACAAAAGAAAAAATCCCAAACCATCACTAAAATCAAAGCATATATTCCTAACATACTTTCTAAACTTATGTCACGGCATAATAAAAATGGTGATACTGTATAATAATAATAACAAAGAAAAATTCTATTACTTAGCTTAAGAAGAGGCAAGAGAGCCTGCTTATGCAGATGCAGGGACAGGGGTTTGATCCCCAGCATGCTGTGCTGGCTTGCTGAGGTGGTGATTGAGACTAGGCGTGGTAGCACACGCCTGTAACCCCAGCACTTGGGAGGCTGCAAGTAGGAGGATCACTATGAGTCCAATCTGTGTAGTGAGACCCTGTACTAAATATATTTAAAAAAAAAAAAAAAAAGAGAGAGAGAGACAAGAGAAAACTACAAAAGAAAAAGAACCCCAGGAAAAGTGAGGGGGTTAGCAGGCTCTGGAAACTTCACTAAGCTCCTGCAAGTTTGAAAATGTGGACTCCTGCACCAAAGGTTTTCAATAATAGAGATGAATCTTTACAGTGCATTACCTAATGAAAAATGTATAACAAAAAACCAAGCAAACTACCATGAGCATATGTCTGAAGAGAGCTAAACCTAAGGCAGGTCCTCAGGAAAGATTCCAAAAAGAGGTCTCATCATGGGAAAGGCAGTTCTACACTGCCCATGAATACCTTTCAGGTGGACAAGAGGTGGAGGTGGAATACTGATATTCATGATTTTGTGTCCTTCCTGGCTAGTGTGTGTGTCTGTATCTATTAAAAAAAAGTTTAAAAAGAAAAAAAAATAGAAAAAGCTTATAGAATATGGACACTAAAAAAAAGTCTATAGCTGTACATTGTGTTTGTCTTTTAGTCAAATGTTATCACAAAAGTCAAAAAGTTAAAAAAAATTAAAAAGCTTATAAATTAAAAAGTTCCAGTAAGGTTAATTTATTATTAAAGATTCAATACAAGTTTAGTGCAGCCTAATTGTTTATTTAAAACCTATAGGTAATATACAGCAATATCCTAAGCCTTCATAGTAACTCAGCACTCACCCAGAGCAACGTCCAATTCTGTAGGCTTCATTCAGTTACATTTTTTTACAGTTTTTACTCTACCTTTTCTATGTTTAGATATATAAATTCTTACAATATGTAACAACTGCCTACAATATTTAGTATAATAATGTCTACTACAGGCTTACAGCCTAGGAAAAATAAACTTCCCTGTTTCTATATAGTATAAGTGTACTATACCTATTTGTCAGTGTGTAGTATACTTCACTTCCATAGGTTTGTGTGAGTACACTATAATCTTTGTACAGTGATGCAATAGTCCACTGATGCCTTTTTCACAATGTATCTCTGTCCTTAGTGATGCATGGCTGGATTTGCTTATTTCTAGCCCATCTACCTTGGCAGAAATCCATTAATACATTATGGGTTTGGAACAGCATAATCTAAAACAGAATTACCATTCTCTCTTTTAAATGTATTAATGTCAGGACTGGGGAGATAGCTCAGTAGAATAAGTGCTTGCCTGGCAAGTGCAAGGGCCTGAGTTCAATCCCCAGTTCCGCCAAAAAAATAAAAGTAAAAAATAAAATTATTTAAGAATGTTAAATACATATAATATAGTCCAGATAACCTCAGGTTACCAGGCTATTTGATGTTATCAGCTAAATTTTAGCTGCTGCTAACAATTAGGTATGACTACTACTTCTTTTTTAAATATAGCTTCTTCTAATATGACTTTTTCCTTACAATTTTCAGATATATTTATTTATAAAGGTAGTGTTCTTTTCCTGAAATATCTGAGAATTCACAGGTTTTACATATAAAACTTATTTTTAAATAAAAAATGAGTACTGGTCACAGACACGACAGTGACAAATGACCCACGGCCTTACCTAAGCATTTTTTTGCCCTGAACTTTCCCAGCCTATTGAATATAGATGAACCATGTCTAGTGAAGCACAGGTGTTAAAAATCAGGCTTTAAATAATAAGAGAAAAGAGTGTTTTAAAATAAATAATAAACATCAAGTTGATATTCCAATTCCACCATTGATCATGGCAGTTGGTTAAGAATAACAAAATCATTGTTAGCATACAGCTACTGCTCTTTTGTGCAGCACTTAGCCCAGTGCCGTCCCATTCTTTTCCTCCTTCCATACATACCACCTACCCAGGCACACCACCAACACATGCTTGTAGCACCTGATCTTCTCTGGGTTCCTCTCATCCCGATTAGCCCCTACTTACCATTTATGTTACAAGTTACCTCAAAGAAGCCTGCTTGGTTTCTGACTGGGTTTGGTCCTGTTTCATATTCCCATAAACACTCTTGTACTTCATTTCATTAATAAATGGTATTTGACACATATAAAACTATCACAAGCTGACACTGAATTAAGTAAATTTAATATATTAACATTTTATGGAAATTAAATAAATTTTACTTGAGGTTCCAATTTTTTCCTTGTATTTCACAAAAAGGTATTTCTAACCTTTTCATCACTGGTAGTAGACTCTGGATGAGGTAAAGGGCTATCCTGATGAGTTGTTTCTACTACAGAAGGTTCCTCAATTTTGCTTCTTATGATGGGTGTTGCAAGAGGAGACAAGTCTAGAGGCATCTAATACAAACAATAAAGAAAATATCAGAAGTTCAAAAATAGCCAATTAGTATGTTTAAGTGAAGAAACCAGAAGACACAAATTATCACTGCTTTTGCATCAATATTTTTTTAATTTCAGAGTTAACAACATACTTTTTTGATGTCATCTTCTGATGCCTTCTTGAATTCATTCTCAAATGGACTTGCCAACTCATTAAACAAACCCACTTCTTCACAGTTTTTCAAGAATCTCGTTGGTGTTGGAGTCTGATCTGAAATAAATATTAAGAAGTAACCATACTGATTTAAATATCATGTAAAGACTTTATAATTAACAATTTAGCCGAATTGGTTTCATCAGTTAATTTTCTTTGGAAAGACCTCTTCCTTTAAAGCAAACAAAGTTTGGTTAAGTTTTTGTTGCACTCTAAGATACTTTCTCCAACTTTATGAATGATACGATTATGAAAGAAGTTACTTTTGCTCTTCAGTCTACTCCTTCTTTGAGTGGCATATAAAGATACTCTACTCAAGAGATAATAATCAGTATCTAACAGTGATAATTTACATTTATTAAACATTATGGTTTTTGAATACATGCAATTTGGGGAAAACTAAAATAAGAGCATGTGTGTCTTTTAATTTGCCCTTTTAGTTGTCACAGTCTAGTATAAAAGCAAGCTTAAAACAGAATCTTTTGTACATAGATTAAAATACCACAAAGAAAGTTAAGAGACCTAAAAATAACTGAAAACCTTCCTTACTATTATCTGACTTTCTATTTTAATGCATCTTATCAGACTGATATGAGGGACTTGTAAGAATCACATGGCAAAAGAATGTTCTAGCTTAATTTCTAAACAGTGGAAGAAAAGTCAACTCTACTTCCTTATAATTGGAACTATTTCAACTATACTTGAATATATATTCATGTTATGTATATATTAACTTATGTACTGATTGTGCATTGTCCACAGGTCAAATGCCAGTTAAGTGAAGAAGTCTGCATTGAATGAGGAACAACAAATTTCTAAATTTATTTGTATTATTTTCAAGATTCTTGATTCATCCTATAGCTGGAAGTATATTCAAATTTTATTTGCATTTTACGTATTTTAGAGCATCAGCTTTAACAGTTATATCAGGAATTTAGTAGAAACTAAATAAAAGCACTCTAATAGGTCAATTCCTGGTTGAAAGTATCAAAATATTTTATGAAATTGAAATTTCTATTTGTTAACTACTATGTTCCCATAGTGGGCACTACTATTTTATTATTGTTCCTCCCATGTATACTCAGAGCCCTAATGTTTTTACTTTATATAAATAACACTAACATGATCTGCTTGTCATACATATTATACATAATGTGGGACAGCCTTACACTTAGTAGTACTAAAATTACTACAGGGATTCCATTTTATAATTTTATTAATCTACAATGTACATTGATGCCTACCACCCAAAAGATCTCCAAAATCATACAGTTGTAAGGGTCTTGTGTTCATGTGTCACCCTAAGTCCCTCATGTCTAAATTATAAGTTAAATCTTAACTGAATTCTTCTACTGACACTCAAAGGATTTGTTGAAGGCTATAAGGTCTTCATTTACACTAAAGGTAGAGAAAAGAAATAAAATATATTTGCATAAACCATTTTGTCCATTATTTTTGGAACCATCAAGACTTGAGAATATAGGCACAATAGTTAATACGCAGACTGAATATGGCTGATGATCATCAAATATATACCACATACATCATGCATTTGATATATTAAACTATTCATCAACATCCAATAAAAAAGTTCAAGTTCTATGTTTAAATGTGTTCTATTTTGTATTATATTTAAACTGTAGTCATACAGGAAACTAATTTCTAGGAATAAATTTAAAAACATTTGCAAGTTGAAAACTGACACAGATGCTGGGTGCAGTGGTACATGCCTGCAACCCCAGCACTCTGGAAGACAAGGCAAGAGGATCACTCCAAGTTTGAGACCAGCTTGGGCTACACAGGAAGTTCAAGGCCAGTCTGAACTACCTCCAAAAAAAATAGGAGGATGCTTTAACATAGTAGGTTTCAGGGAAACAGACCTTTCAGCCTATGAGACTGAGTTTTTTATTTGCTGTTCTTTTGCTTATTATCCTATTTGCTCTCTCTTTTCTTGGTTCTAGCTCTAAATTTAGATTTTAAAATATTCAAAGAACTGTGTATCTTACCCTTCTTTGCTTCTTTTTACTTACAGAACTGAAAAGATGTTAAAAGTTTTTTTTTAAATATGTTTAGTACAGTCTTCAAGGGTCTCATTACACAGATCGGTCTTGTAGTGATCCTCCTGTTTTCAGACTCCCAAGCACAGCGATTACAGGTGCATGCCACCATGCCCAGTCTCAACTGCAGTCTCAGCATACCCCAGGGGCGGGGCTGGCATAGCATGGCATGCTAGGGATCGAATCCTGGCCCTTGCACCTGCTTAAGTAGGCACTTTAGCGCACTGAGCTATCTGGCCGGCCCAAAAGTTCTCTTATATGAATTGTTTTAATAAATTATCAACTTCTGGCTACCTCCTATCTCTTCATTATAAAACTTTTGATAATGGAAGAATCATCCAATACTGTCTTATTATCAACTAGCCAAAGCACTGTATATATAACAATTTGATGTCCATAGAGTAACAATTCATAAATACAATATTCAGATACAGTTCCAGATTTGAAAATAGTGTAAGCTAAGAAGTGTAAGAGAAAAGAATCTAGAGTTTATTTGAATACTTATGATATACAAATCTATGATTGTGATAAAAAGGCCTAAAATTTATATAAAACTTTTTTATCACAATGCTTATGAAGAAAATATATAAATTTACACACATTATACATGTCTGTATATATGTAATGAGATATGTGTGCATATATAGTTAAACACTAGAACAGGAAACTAATACAGCATGAAACAATAACCAATACATGAATCAGGTTTCTCTTTTCAAATATTATGAAAAATAATCATCTCTTTAGATGATACCCTATGGCCACAGGGTCAACACGCAAAAAAAAAAAAAAAAAAAAAACCCTGACTGAATTTAGGTCTCCTTTATTGAGAATCTTTTACTAATAAAGATGTTAACTCTGAGAAAAAAAAATTACACATACAAAATAACAAAATCCTAATGAACAAATGTGCTAACTGCTCCAATAGGAGGAGTTTGATTATTTCCTCTCTTCAACACAGGCTTGTCAACCAGGTGTAGACAGCTAAAAGAAACACTGACTAAATACCACATTAGATCAGTTAGCGGTTGCAGATGGTATGACATTTCCTACGGATTTTGTTAAACTCCATAAAATTGATTATGAACTTTACATTTGAAAACTATACAATAAAGTGGTATGAATGATCAAAAAGAAACATGGACATGTAATGGACATGTAAAATACATGATGCCAACATTTACTATAAATGAAGTCATTGGAATATCACCAGACTATAATATTTACAGAGAATACACAAAAACTGTGCACATTCTAGGTGAAATATGTATATAAGCTATTAATAAAAGCATATACTAACCAGCCACAATGACACTGTCATTACGTGCTGGACCAAATTTCAGTGTCATCTCATGTTTATGTTTATGGACAGCCAAATGATCCTCGTTGGTAAAACGCTGTGGCAAAAAGTTTTAAAATACAGTTAAGATTTTCAATTTGATCAAGTAAGTAAAATGATATGGAAATTCATTTCCAGAACATGTAAAACCACCATTAACAGTGAAACAGTAATTTGTAAACCTTAAGAATCTGTCAGTATAGATAAGCATACAAGGTTTCAAAAACTCAGAAAACCCATTATCCAAGAAATAATACAAACATTCTATAAAATTACATAAATCATTTGACAGCATTTAAAGACTAAGGAAATTTTATATACATTTCATTTGGATACTAAAAACAGACCACTGTTAAATTTTCTGTCATGCTGGAGTACAAATATATACTCCATGGTAAAATGATTTTTGAAGAAAGCACTACATCTACACCTAAAGTTACTTACCACTTTTTAAATAAGAATTTTCTTTAAAAAATATTACCTCTGGACAAATTAAAAAATAAATCAAGCTTTATGTGACCACATAAAAAGAATGTTTTTTACTATGATCCAGCAAAAATAGCAACCATATCTATAAATGAATTCATTTTAAAGTCTAATATCTATTTTAAATGTAGTGGTTTTAAAAATCATTGTTTGTTTGTTTATTTATTGGTACTGGGGATTGAACTCAGGATCCTGTGCTTGTTAGGCAGGTGTTTATTCTTTTGAGTTATCGCCTCCACAGTTTATGTTTTAAAATGAAGCAAAAATATTTTTAACGCTATCACACTTTTTCTTACATTTAACTTGGCTAAGTTCTACATATTAAAGGGGACATTGATAATTACAAAATAATACACACAATGTTTGAATATCTGTGTCTGGAAATCAACCTTTATCAAGATATTCCTAATTTATCATTAAAAACAGGGAACATTTGCTTTTATTTCTGAGCAATTTTTTGCCTACTTCCTTGTTCAGAGCAGTACTTTTAAAATGTTAAATTGTAAGGCTTAAGCTAATTCTTCAGTCTATAACGTTACAAAGAGGAATGTTTTAATTACATATACTACAACTTGGTTTACCCAAACCATCAAAATAGATTCCTTCCTTGTGATGATCCCCTACTCTTAACCAATTCACTACATCCTTCCATACAACTAGTAATATCAGCTGTAGGCTAACTTTAAAACAGTGAGTTATTTTCCCACTTATTCTTTTTTGTGTATTTTAAAAAATATGACAAAACCCATTAGCTTTGAGATGTTAAAATGCACTTATATCCTTTATACAATGCACTACATTTTGGTAATAGCATCCCAATTTTATAGTGACATATTCCCGTCAATCTTTTTTTTTTTTTTTTTTTTTTGCGGAACCAGGGATAGAACTCAGGCCCTTGTGCTTGCCAGGCAAGTGCTTATTCTACTGAGCCATCTCCCTGGCCCCCATGTCAATCTTTTTTAAGTAGGCAGGCCTCTTACTACTGTTCTCCAAATTAGCTTAAAGTACTCAATAAATGCTAATTGAAAGAACTAGCTTCTTATGATAAAAGAGTTGAATCTTACAAAACAGTACCAGGAGAAAAATGACTAAAAAAAATGAGAGCAACACTAAGAAAATAGAAGAGTACCAATACTCTATGAGTCTATCACTAAATTATCTTTCTTCTTCTCCTCTTAATTCAATGCAGTCCATTCATAAAATGACCTAACACCTGGCCATATTAAAAAAAAATTCAATAGAAAGAGACTTTTTATTACTATTATTTTTTTTCATATTTTAGGGAAAGTTCTACAGGGTGTTCACGGTCTCACTACTAGATCAGACTCGTAGTGATCCTCCGAAGAGCTGGGATTAGAGGCGCGTGCCATCACGCCCAGTCTCATCTGCCATCTCAGCATGCCCGGGAAGGGCCAGCAGGGCAGGCCCGGCAATCGAACGCTGGCCCTGCAATCGAACCCCGGCCCTGCGATCGAATCCCGGCCCCTGCACCTGCTTACAGGCGCTTTAATCCACTGAGCTATTTGGCCAGCCCAGAAGGAGACTTTAGATAAACTCTTTTTCCAGTTTCTCTCTCAAGTGTTATTTCAACGAAGTATTTTAAACTGTAAAAGTATGTTTGAAATTTAAAATTTGTATGTAGGGCTGACCAGATAGCTCAGTGATCTAAAGTACCTGCTGAAGCAAGCTTAGGCAAGTGCAAGGATCATAGTTCTATCATTTCCACACCACACGCCACACCAGCCCCACCCCAGGGCAGGCTGAGTCAGTCACAATATAAACAAATAAATAAAATTAAAAATTTATGTATATTATGCTAAAGCTAAAATTAAAATTTGAAATGTCACTGGTTACTAGTGCCAAAAATATTTGCACTACCACTGACCTTATTAGATCCAAAAGCTACAATTCTTGTTACATAGGTCTTGTTTTATCTTGGTCTTAACCATCCAGCAGAAAAGTATGAAAATGAAGTACAAGAAGTAAAGCCATGTTGTTATGTTGAGCTGTAGGGGATTCAGGTCAACAACTTCTGACATTGCCAGTCAAGTGGAAGACCCAATACTATTAGGGACTACTGGACTCTTTTAGAATATTTTGCTGAGTTCACACACCTATAATATTTAAATGATGGAACTAAACAAAAAAAAAGGGATATAGATGAATGACCATTTTGTATCTGTGTATTCAAAATGCTTAGAATAGATATATAGCTACATTCTCTTAATTCAAGGAATAGAAGGATTTGTTCTAATAGTGTTTGTAAATAGGATATCATGTCTGCATCTTGTACAACAAATAACCACTAGGAAGGCAGTATGCAATGTGTTAATTATTGGAACTGTCCTACCAGTTTGATTTGAAACTGTCTCATTGCTATTTATTTCTCAATAGTTATGGGAAAAAATAAACATGTACCCACTGGGGAAAAAAAAAAATATTTGCACTACCACTGAACTAGTGCTTTAAAACCATTCTTACGAGAACCTTCAATTTCCTAGGAAATAGTATTTAAATACAAAACGAGAGTATACCATTGTTTTTTATTAGCAAGATGTAATAATGGATGTTATTAGCCAGACTGTACTTTGATCAGTAACGGTTACAAGGTAGTATCAGAACATGAGATTATTTTAAGCATTTTAGGGAACACGCATAGACCAAAAATCATGTAACTTCCAAGACTGGAGTGCTCATTCTGAAAATAATCGCCTTTAGTGAGAACAAAACTAATAGTACAGTAAACAAACAAACAAAAAACTGACTTAGCTTTTAAAAACATTTTGAAAAAAATATACGAATATGTATGTAATTGTGATTCAGTAATTCTAGTTCAAAAATGTTTTAAGAAATAAATGAGAGAAGCACACAAAGGATTATGTAGAAAGATCTTCACTATAATACTTCTGACAGTACTGTAATTAATTTAAAAGTTCACAATAGAGGAATGAGTAAATTAAGGCAAATGCTCTAGCAAAGAATGCTGCAGCCATTTAAAATGTCTTTAATTATATATAACAAATTCATAATACATATAATGCCATTCAAATATAAACAGAATACAAAAACAGTGTGATATGATCTTAACTTTGTTTTAAAAATAAAAGAGGAGGGCCAGGGAGATGGCTTAGTAGAATAATTGCTTGCCTGGCAAGTGCAAGGGCCTAAGTTCAATATCCAGTTCCATTAAAATTAAAGAAAGAAAGAAAGAAAGAAAGAAAGAAAGAAAGAAAGACAGACAGACAGACAGACAGACAGACAGACAGACAGGCAGGCAGGCTGGCTTTGGAAATGCTCTAAAATAGTAACCAAAATTCTCTTTATAGATTTTGTCCTTTTAAACTTGTTGACATTTTCTATGGTTCTCTTGTCTCACATTTATTTGTACTGCTAGGATTAAAAAAAAAAAATTAGTATATGCTCATAGCATATAATGATTATACTCATTCTGGGGAGTCAGCCCATGTACGTGACACATCTTAATTTTTTAATGTCTCTTCTTCTCCATCCTCACTCCCTCTTTCTGCATCTCTTGGTTTTTTTGTAACTGAGAGGAAACAGAAAACTACTACTCTTGATTTGAGACAGGTCTCAGTATACTGTGTAGGCTCACCCCAAACTCATGATCCTCCTGACTCTTGAGTCTACAGGCATATGCCACAACTCCTGGCTTTAAAACATTTTTTGGGGGGCTGGTGTTCAATCCCAGGGCCTGCCTGCCAGCCCTGCCCCTGGGGCAAGCTGAGACGGCAATTGAGACTGAGCCTGGTGGCACGTGCCTATAATCTCAGCTCTTGGGAGGCTGTAAACAGGCGGATCACTAGGAGTCCAATCTAGTAGCGAGACCCTGAACACCCTTGTAGAACCTTCCCTTAAAACAAAAAAAAAAAAAAAAAAAAAAAAATTTTTTTTTAAATATCGAGAAGAAATACACATACACAAGAGATCACAATTAATCATGTCTTAGCATATGTTATTTAGGGATATCTCATATATATGTTATGTAAGAGTAAGCTTATGTTCTACTTGAGCTCTAAAATTTTCCACCTGTGTGACTGAGATTCACTTGAGTATTCTGTCTCCAGTTTAGCTGCTTGCCTGTGAAGTTAGGCTAAAGCATTCACTTCATGGGGTGTTGTAAGAATTGAATGACAGTTTACAAAGTTCTTAACACCAGTGATTAGTTAAAAAAGGCTATCAATGTAAATATTTTCATTTATGAACCTTTATTACTCAAATTCTTTGAGAGAAAAGTTGAGGTACAGATAAGTAAAACTATACAGTAAGCATTTGACAAATATCTGGAAGTCCTATTCTGTGGTTCATAGCTAACTTTTATATGGTTGCGTGTGCAGCTGTTTTTTGTTACTGTTTTAAATAAACATTTATTTATTTATTTGGTACAGGGTCTTCCTACGCAGTTTGGATTCATAGTGATCATCCTGTCTCAGCCTCTCTAGCACTAGGATTATAGGCGTAAACCACCATACCCAGTTTCAGTGGCTGGACTGGCATGGCATGCAGTACTGGGGATCAAACCTGGGTCCTTGCCCTTGTATGCAGGCCCTTAGA